TTAGGAACTAAAATGAGTGCCTTATAGCAAAAATACTGGCAAATGGCTGTACCACAGAGCCACCTGACAGCTAGCCAGCTGAAAGCATCCACAGCCTGACTGCATCTGGCTGTAGCTTCTTTCACCCTTTATATTAAGTTAGAGACTAACATTCAGGAGACACATACAGTTGCTTAACTTTCTTCAGAAGTATGTTTCCTTATTAACCTGACAAAAAGTTTGCTACATCCTACTTTGCAACAGAACAGTCAAAGTCACTACATAACCTGACAAGCTGCCTCATCACAGCTTTTTATTTGCCCAAGGGAAGGAGCAGTTTTAACAGGAAAGTCAACACGTACCTTCACTGCACAAAAAGGAAGATACTAACACAGAAAACCTATTCTCTCCCAGCGCAGGTTTATTTTCCTCACAGCCAGCTTAAAATAAATAAATCAATCTATCCATAGCCAGAGCAAAGCTTTTTACTTGTTTGAAGTTTTGCAGGATCAAGATTTTTCTTTAGCAAACACTGCATAAACCAACAGGCTTACTGCATCTTGCAAAGAAGCTGGCTTTGTGTATTTTCTAGTTTGCAACATCCAAACAATAGTTACCATAAAAACAGCATTTAATGCAGCCTGTATTAATCTCTGCTGTGGTTTCTGCAGCATTCCCTGTACTTATAAGGTAAATATAAGTAATATTTATATATAATAATGCTCTTTTACTTTGTCTTCTGCTATTGACTTTTACAAGGCATGCTATTTTGTTTGATTAAACTAAAATCCAAAATAATTTTGAAAACACACTTAAGAAGTGAAAACAAAACTCTGAGCAATTGTTACCACTGGCTACACTATGTGGAGAGTATTTCTTTTCAATGCAAGAGAAGTTTCACCATTTTCAACACAAGCACTTCAAGCATGTCATTCCACTTTAGCTCTTAAAAACTTAGCAGAAAATACAGCAATGAAACAGGAAAAAAAGTAAGTGATGTCCTAATGAGGAACAGCCTTCTGTAGCTACTCCCCCCCACCCACTTCTTGAATCACAAGGAACCAAGGATCGGAGGGGTGAAATGGCTCAGGTTCATTGACACACCCTGAACAGGCTACAGTCAAGCTGGAGCTCTCCTTTGAAAAATCTTACGGTAAGTGGAATGAAGTGTGTAATGGAAATGGTAGATTTAAAAGTGATATGAGGGTAAATTGAATTAACAACAGAAAATCCTCTTATTCAACATATTTTAAGTCCTAAAAGGAGACAAAAATGTCCTAGTTTTGGAAAGCAAAAGCATTTCACAATAAAACTATACCTTCAGGGGAGTAAATGGCTTTAAAAAGTCAGTACGCCTTCAAGGGTGCAATTCTTTACAGGTCACATCTCCCCCTATGAGTTTATAAATCTATACTACATCTTCTGAGACAGAAATGAAGGTGCTCACCATGACATCACTGACCTTGAGGGGTTGTTAGGAGCACACATTTAGGCAGGATGGGATTAGCATACTACATTAGTGTTTAAGATCAGGAAACAGGCTGCACTTTGTAACAGCATTTTTCATTTGTGTGAATTTCCGAAAGAAAACCCAAAGCATATGGCATATGCTGCAAATTAGGCTTAAATCCGACATTTTTCTTTTGGAGCACAAAGTATACTCCAATCCCTCTATAATTAAACATGGATGTGAATAGTAGGGTTGAACCAAGATGAGAGAAAAAAATGCAGTTAACTACCCTGTTTTCTTTTCTGACCTAAGCTCTTGGTCACAGGACAGACTTTCTTCTGTAGCATGTTAACATTAACTTTTCTCCCACACAGAACTCTATCCATTCACAAAATGGAACCAAAAACTCAGATACTTGTACATTCTGCTTGCAATATATAAGTACAACTTAAATTTCAGTGTAGCTGTTAGTAACACAAGTATTGAAGTTTTACATAATTCACAACTTTAGTAACCTCTGCCTTTAAGATTTTTTATTTTTTTCTTCTATTTCTTACTATCATTACTATTTATCTATTATCCTTTCCAGAATTCCTAACTGGACCACTGCCACCTTAACAATGTGATTGGATTGATGTGCAATCATCACTTCACTATTAGATGAAATAATGTCCTCATACTGACCGAACTGACCCAAGGAAAGAATGTGTCTTCACTGAATTTGAAAGGAAACCAGATTTATTCCATTAAGTTGTTGCCGAGAGTCCTTGGACTTAATCTGCAGAAATCTAAATTCAATTGTCCTAAAACCTACTCCTGGTTCTCCAGTTCTCAAAAATATCTGCTCTAAGAACTGAGCTTGGCTATTCAATGTAAAGAAAGGACAGCCACTCACCATCTGCAACAGCTCCCTCTAAAATAAACGTAAGCATGAAGTCTAATACTATGTGACTCCTGCAGAAGAGCTTGGACAATCTAGTGATGTCTGTCATAAAACTGCAGTGACACTGATTTTTAATACTGCAGTGACTTCAACAACTCAAACCCAGAGGGATTCACTGTATTATACTAGGAACACTTGGGAACACTTGAAGTAGTAGCAAAAGAAAAAAATAAAAATGTGCTTAGTAATCAACTGTAGGCCCATAGCACAAATTTCAGGGCATTTCTTCTTACAAGTTCATAAACCATGTCTGCCTCCACATTACCCACTGTGTCTTATAAGTGGGTCTGGAGGACCCGTTTAACATGTTTGTACAATTATTATGGTCTAGGAAGAAACCTCTATTCTAAATGAAGTGGTAACATTAATCTTTGCTCTGACGGGGTTTATAATGAATTACGGGATTGACTACTGAAGGAAGCAAAAGGATGAGGCACGATTACTTTGATCATTGTGGGGGGCATGGTGTTTTCACAAAGGTGCCATGATGAAACAAAGATGGTAACTTTGATGCTGCATAAAGAGAACACTACTTCCCAGGGTCAGAGTTAGTGCTAGGTCAGTCACTTCAGTAGGAACCTAAAATGATCTTATCCCAATGCTTTTAGTTTCTAAGACATCTTAAGGAGATTTGGAATTTCAGCTGAAATTTTATTTTCTTTCTACTCATTAGTTACAGCATTAAAAACGTACAACCTTCTGTAGGACCAAAAGACAAACAATCAATCAGCATTGCCTATTCAAAAGGCCACCCTTCCTTAGTGCTCAGCATAAGTCAGGCTGTTCTCTCAAACAGCTTCTGCCTTTGCAAACATCATCCTGTAAAACTGATCCAGATGAATCCCAAGCACTCCAAGGGGCTCAGCTGAACTACATGGACACAAGCAAGCAAAGAAGATATGTCCAGGTACGAACACAATTTTTTTATTTTTTTTTGGGGGGAGGTGTAGGGGGGTGGTCATTAATCTACCCCAGATTACCTAGTCTACCACAAAGTGATTTATTTGAAGTGCTGCAATATTTTTTTTTAGAAGTAGAGAAAGTTTGGTCATTATTCCTATGCAGCTTCCAAATACAAGAAATTATTACATGGTAAGAATATTACATATGCATGAAGTGATCCTGCTTGCTAGGATAACACTGTACATGATGGTTGGAATTAATTTTCCAACTAGAAGACAGTGTTATTAATAACTGTGACAGAGGAAAAAAATCAAATGTTGATTTAAAAATCAAGTAGTGTCTTTGTGTAACAATCAGATACAACTTCAGTAACAAGTGTATTATCATAACCCAAGAGACAAATTGGTATTTTCACTGTAACTGTGAAAAAAACCTTTCCTGGCTCAGGCAAGTAAATTAAGTGGGATTTTCAGAAACAGTAGTTTGTCTCCAAGCAAGGCAAGTTCTCAAGAGAACTGTGTGGCTTCACATTCTTGCACTCAGAAAAATGTGTGATATTGTGTCCCTCTCATACAGAAAACAATAACACCTGCCTATTTTGTTCCACTGCTTTCTTTCATAAAGAGAAACACCAAGACTTCTGAACAACAGTGGGACCAAAGTCTCTTTGCTAGTTCAATCAACCATGAAGAGCATGGCTTCTCCTTAGCAGGTTTGTGCAAGGGCAACCTGATACTGTTTGATGATCCATTTAATCCCAGCACAAAGGCTGTATGCAAACAGAGGAGGTTGTGCAGGCAAAGATGCAAACAGGACAGAGCTAGTGTTGACTGGTACAGCCCTCCCATCACCTAAGTAGATAGTAGTATTTGGCATTTCAGCATCCAGGCTAGACAGCTCTTTTCAAGACAAATATTCACTCCAACCCCAAGCATCTCTTCCACACATCACTGCTTGAGTAGAGCACTCAGCTCCTGTCTTTCACTCTTCTCCCTGTTAATGTTTCCTCCTCCTCCTCCGCTACCCTCAAATCCACAGCCAACCCCCCCTCCTTCTTCTTTAGCATGGTTCAGTTCATCAGCCTGTTCAGCTTGTGTAGAAACTGGCCACTCACACTCAGTTCCCCAAAGGTACGGACAGACATTCAAGAACACTTTTAAACAGAGCAAAGTAAAAGGCTTTGGTCTAGACCTGTATTTCAGGACTAGACGTGTTTCAAGTCTGCCATGCTGCAGTTGTTTAAATGCACCTTAAAGCATTCCTAGCAAAACCGCGGATTAATGAATATCCCGACAGTGGCTTTAGCTCTTTAATTCCCAGTAGCTAACATGCATCCAGCACATTCACACCAGTATGCATGTGCCTGATAGTTTGATAGTTAATACTATTATCTCCCGGATACCCACCAGGCTATTAAAGTCATTAGCCATACCCTTGCTGCCTAAGATCCCATTGAACATGGCGGGGAGGGAAAGAGGCAAAGAGTCTTTTCAAATCAGTCTGAAACTTATTTCCAAATGAATCTTCTACACAGTGTGCTCCAAAAAGCACTCTTGACTGAAGCAATCTTTAATAAACAATGGAGAAAAGTCATTTACTGTGCGACCATTATCAGAAACCACTGTGCTCTTTAGAGTGGGCAGACATCTGTTACATCTGTTTCAATGAAAACCCCCGGGGAATATTCTGCAGTTTGGCACTGCAGTTGTGTGTTATAATGTCAAATATGAAGAACATAACACAGCAGGGTGCCCAGGGACAGGGAAAGGCAATCCAACGGACTGCCCTAGTTTCTGTTAAAAATAGGTCAAAGAGCTGGTATAATCAAAGTCTGGCAGTGCATACTAATTACTGACAGAATGTCTTACACTTGCATTGACTGGAAGCAACCCGTACATGATCTTATTAGCTAAATACACTAGGAGCCTTTTTAGATATTAAATATTTGAAATGAAAATGTAGATTTCCTATTACTTCAAGAGATTGGTTTTATTCTGGATGACCTGGCAAATTAATTTATAGATAAATCAATAACATATGGAGACATAGTTTCCCCATAACGATTTAAAATTCATTAACGTATATTTGCTGAACTAATAAACAAATCTTATGCTATGAATCCCAAATAGCTTGTAGATGTTGATTACAGGACACAAGATTGCTAAACAAGTGCACAAAAAATTATTCATGATAGAACTAGCAGGGAGGAAACTATCAAAGTATAGAGAAATTGCACATTTTAGAAGGTAAAATGCAGTGATTAAGAGACAAAGATGGGTCTCCACTCCTGAAAATTAACACATAGTCTCAACATCTAAGGCCAATCAGCAACTTTCTTCACAAATTACAAGCAACTGTGAAGTAGAACAGAAGGAACAAGCTAATGTTACTCTGTCCCTGACAGGGAACATCACAAGTTTAGCCTTAATCACAAATTACTTTAAATACTTATGTTTCGTGAGTGACAAGGTTATCAGAAAAGGGACAAAAGCTGAGAATGTTTTGCAGTTTATATCAAAAACAAGTGAATTGACCTGCTAAGCAAATAGTATTTCCTGAGACTTATTCACCTCAAGCAATCTCACAAAGTCTTCCTAGATGAGCACCTGTAACAAAATAAAGAAATATATTGAATCTGAAAACTATATGATATAACAATGATTTCAGTTACATACATAGCACTTTATAACAATTTTGGCTTCATTGCATCACTTTTCTTCAGTTGGTTTACACCACCAAAAAACACCTTCAATAGCAGTAATAGCTATTATGTAACAAGATCATAGGCCTATGCAGCCTCAGTAAGGATTGCAAACAAACGTGCCCAGAAAATTATTTTCCTAAAGGACTATTCCTCCATGTTCAAGATCAAGAATCGGAAATCAGATAGATGAATATAGCATGATTTCACATGATTTCATCCTATATCACTATCGAATCAGTGCATTTTTGGACAAACAACAAATCCGTTTGAAAAATGTATTTAGTTGTGGACGTAGAAGTTCCTTCTTCATGTGCCAACGCAAACATTTTGGATATGGTTGATGTATAAAACTATTGCTAATGTCAATTTGCTACTCACACAGTAGAGCAAATTTAAAGAACAGAAAGTGAACTTCTCCCTTCAACAAATTTCCCAATTATAGCAAAAGTCACACTCAGCAATACAAAGGAACTAATTTTCTCAAACAGTTCTAAATCATGAGGAAAAAAAAAAAAAAAAAAAACAACAACAACAACAAATAAGAAATCTCATTTACTTAAGTAATGGTGTTTTCTGTGTGTTTTATTTTTAATGACTAGATAATTTTATCATGTAAGTTGAAACAAACTCCTGTCTCAGCAAAGGTCTTGTGGTCAAGAGCATTGTTGATTGTATTTTGTGATCGGTAATGAAGAAAGAGATGGCTAGAGCATTATTTGCCCAAGAGCACATAACTGAGCATTACTTGGTAAGAAATGACTGTGTTAATTTACAACACTTAAATTGGATGTACTGGAGTCATTGACTGTGTTTGTCAAAATTGATTTTTCCATAGCATTACATACTTGCAAGTTACCTATGAAAACACTAATGCAGAAAGTTATACAGTACCCTTTACCCTTCTGCCTGTAAGTACTTGGCACTAAAAGGCTGTAAGGACACAGCAACACCAGACATTTTAGGACCTCCCATTTTCCCTGGTTCTAAGCAGTTCATACTCACTTCATCCTGCACAAAATTCTATCAAAGCAGCAAGATGTTTCAGATTTTGACCGAAGAAGTGCTGCTTCCAAGCCAGGTTCTTCTGACAAACATCAGTCATGGAAATCCGTTGCTCCCTCCAGCAGTGCTGTGCTAACAGCATACTCAAACCTAGGGGGAAGTAAATCCCTTATAACAGTAGGAGGATGTGGATAGATGGATTAAGTATGCTAATAAAATGTACAGACATCCGCAAAAAAAAAAGCTATCAATTTAATAATTGATAAATATAAAATTTCAAAGTGATCAGAGACCACATGAATTTGGTAAAAAAAATCAGACTTTTTATTCTTTTATTCTAAGAATACATTTTATTCAAAGAATCACATCATTAATATTGAATTATATAATTTCCAGCTAATTTAGTAAATCTAGATAACCTGAAGAAATAAGATAGATGATGAAGACACGGCAACATTGCATGGCAGAAATGCGTCATTTACTGTGGAACATGGTAGGTCACAGAACTTATGGGAATATCAAAAAAGTGTACAGCAATCCTGACTAAAATGTTCCACATTTAATAAGTATGAAGTATTTCTTGGGATGGTTGATTCTACTTTATGAATGATGAGAGACTTCAGTGTTCTCTCACATTTTCCTCAAATGGCAGCACCAATCCTGGGAGGCAGGATCAGTAAGAGTGAAACATTGCAATTGTATGCCACATGCAGCTTTGCAGTGCATTGCTGCTACACGTTACATTTGATCATTTAATAGAGGTTATCTAATGCCTAGGTTGGTAGTCTGTCCCAGCCTTCCAACTGGAAACTACTAAGAACTTTTGGTTCCAGCAGTACCAATGTGGACAAATTGGTCTCTACAAGCCACTGGTGAACAGTGCTGAGGTTTCTGCAATGCAAAGGGATCAACTATCCTAATTACACATCTCCGTGCTTTCAAGGCAAAATGTCCTTTACCTTCAGTTTAATTGCATGTTTCAAATAAGATAGAGGGGGAATCAAATAGTTTTGGCAGTATTCTAATACAGGATTCCTTCCTGAACTGTATGGTATGTACCATTAGAAGTCACTTGAATCACTGTATTTGTAAACCCATGAGCAGAGAAAACCAAGTCACACATTGCTGTCTCTCTTGACCTCAGTCAGAGGCTTTAGCTGTGCTTGCAAGGAATTCATATCTCATATAGCAAACTGTAATGTTTAAGAGGAAAAAAACCTCAGAGCAAGTCTCACACCTGCAAGTCTGGAGTCAAACACCGCATAAATGCCTGTATAAACACAGCAGCTTAGCTTATTATTTTATAAGAGAGATAACTGCCCAATACCTGGCAAACAGCCTTCAGACACTGAGTACAAATACTAATGCACTAAAAGATTTTTTCTTCCCAATGTTTATAACCTAGCAATTTCCAAAAGTTTTTGTTTAAATTAAATTTTTAAAAAGTAACAAGTTGAGTCCCATAACTGAATCTCTTTGATGTTCATTAATGCTAAATGAAGTTTCATGCATATACAATGATCAGACAATCATCCTTTATGTAAAAGCTTCTGTCCAAAGCAGATTTTTCAGTCCAATTTCTCAAAAGAAATCAGTCTTGGGCAATCATGGTACACATACATGTGCCTGTCCAGCTATCTGTCCTCCCAGCAGCTTCTCAACACTACCTGAGCTACATTTGCTCCCTGAGAATATTATAATTCCATCAGCTGCACAGAAATTGGAAGCTAAACAAAAAGTGATGAGGAAAGACAAACAGATTTATAATCATCTTTTCAGACATTTACCTCATTCCCTACACCAAAATCTGTTCCCCTATACAAACACACAAAGCCCGTAGCCTGGTGGTAGCCCAGGGGCAGCAGGCAGAGAGGCTGGGCCTAGGAGCACCCCCACAGCCATCCCTGCTCCTCACTGCCTTCCCACACCACCCTCCATTTCCCTGGGTTCCACTGCACCACTGCTTAAATATCTCAAGGAGATCCCAGCTCCTCCAGGCTGATCTCAGTCCGCTGGCACCTGTAGTAGTCTGGAAAATAGAGTCTCCTATGTCAAGAACCTGAAAAAACAGGCATGCAGAAATTACTTGTGATTTCCAAAATCTTATTTGAGTCTTTGAGTTGGCATCCAGAAAAATAGATGTGCTAACTCTTTTCCAACTGGTATAGGTATTCGTATAATGAAGCAGTGGAAAGCAACTCAACTTGGTTCCAGTTACAGGCTTTAAGTACACCTCCAGAACTCCCAAACGTACTAAGATTCCCTTGTTTCAATGCACAGATTACAAAATAATCTGCTTTATTAATTTCTGAGACCTGTTTGGACAAAATTTGTTGCTTTGGTTCTATCATTTGAACGTGGTCCCTTCAACGCATATGCGCTAAAATTCAGCCTTGTTTTTCAAGGGGGGCTGAATAAAAATGATCAGCAACATGGGTACATCTCTAAGACAATGCTTCAAGTGGCACATAAAATATTGAAATTCCAATAATGTAAGCTTTAAAATAAAAATCTGATGTCTCATAACTAAGTCATGAGACTGCATCAGCTCACTACAACTGTCTCGATGCTTCCCCTAAAAGCCCGGCTGTCTCTGGGGAGCCATCTTGCTAATATTTCTCAGTAGAACGTAGTCTGAGCACAATTGCCGCTAATTTTACTTACCTCATTTGCTTGGTATCTCAGAGCTTTATAATGGCTGGCACTTCTGATGCATTTTAATATGGCTTAAAAAGGAATCGGCCTGAATAAATACAAGAAAATGCTATTGTCTCCCTTCCCTGTGTAGCTGAAATCTAATTGCAAATGTTTTCCCATTTTCCTGGCAGAGTTACCACTGTTTTTCCACACAGGTCTCATTCCTAAAGACGTACGTGGCAATTTGGTACAAGGAATTGACCCATTCCAGAGCATGGTGTCCATCAGCAGTTTTTCTCAAGCAGAGCCAGGCCTTGTGAGTAGATGGTAAGACCTCTCACCACCGAGCATAAGACAACCTTGGGGTCTGTAACTGAGGGCAGGGGGAGCAGACAAGACAAGACCCGATCTCAAAAGGGATGTTGTAACAGCCTGAAAGGAGGTCACACAGTGAGGCAACTGCAGCTGGACAGAAGAACAGCAGCAGAAAGCTCAGGGTGCAGGACACACTGTGGAGGACCACAGGAGATGCGTATGGTAGGAACAGTGCTGGATGTTCTTCTACATCTTCTACACCTTCTACATCTCCCCCCCCACACCCAACTCCTAGCTGCCCCCAATCCCTCTCCACTTGACGTTCATGCTCCAGCTGCAATGGCTCTGACCTCTGCAGGCTGATCGCTGTGCTCACAAAACCACAGGATTCAAAATTAGCAAATGAATATTTAATCAATTAATATCAGGCAAGTGTGACAGCCTCAGATAAGCCAGTCTTTTCCACAGCAGGAAATCACCAACGTTTCATTAAACAGAACATATTTTCTTGCATACCTCATGTAAAAGAGAAGTAATAAAAGCAAAGGGAAAAATAAGCCAATTTCCACAAACCCCTCTAAAGGATTGTTTAAATGTGTAATACAACAATGTACCAAGCCTTTGGTAGCTATTTAAGAAACAAAAATGGAAAGCTGCAAAAGCGTTTTAGTATCAGACCAACAACTGGAGTTTTTGAAAAAGTCTCAAACTCAGATAATTCTCTCTACCTCACCCCCTTGTGTCACTTATCCAACCATTTACTGACAGCAGCAGGAGAAATTTTAAAGCTGTACAGCTTCATCACCCCCTGGCAAATGTTCCACACCATATGACGAAGCAGCAGTTTCTCTAGGTGGGCAGAATGAGCAGCTTTGATACCCCAAGCTGGGAATCTCCAACTTACACCACCTAAACAGGGCATCTCTGTTTGGACATAGCCCTTCCCACCAAGGAGGTTTTCCAGTTGACCCTATCCAAGGAGGGAACTGAGCACCTTCCGGGCTCTCAATGCACATGCATACCTCTGGGAGCTCTGGGCTGGCGCTCTTCCCGCTCTTTTTGAGCTCAAAATTAATAAATAAATAAATAAATAAAAATAAAATAATAATAAAAAAGAGACTTCTGTTGACTTATACATGTGACTTACACATGTGCTCTGTGCGTACAGCTTTCTGGTGAACCAGAAAGCAGCAGTGATTTTCAGTGGAAGACAAAATTAATTAGCTCTGCTTTGACACACTGCAGTGTCTGCAGAGCTCTCAATGAGGTTAAGTGAGAGGGTGCAGAAGCAGGTGGGGGTGACCTGTCAAGAGCACATTTCAAAAGTTTTCCAAAGGGGATACAGACCCTTGCGCAACCAGCGAGTGCCTCTTTTCATTCAAGTGCTCAGGAATTGAGGTTTTCTGAGATGACAATGGGCTCTGCTCCCCAGAGGGGATTTATGGGCACACATTTCCAAGGGGCATTATTTACTTGTGATAGTATTTGCTGTCCCTCCCGGTGTACAGCTTTCACCTTTCAGCAGTGTTAGGAAGACCACTAGTGGGAATGGCAGGACATGGATTTCCTAGAATGCCACCTTTCCACCTCCAAGCCCCACATCCTCAACACTCCTTGCTGATCACAAAGACACGAACCACCAGCCACCTGTGAGTAGGCTCTATTTCATTTACAGCAAAAGGAAATGTTTTGCACAAGGAAAACATTTGAATGCTCCTTTTCCAGCAGCAGTTGAAATTAGTACAATTCAACACCAGTACTAGAAACTTCAGGAATGGTGAAGCACTTTGTCAAGATTTTCCTGCCTTGTCATATTCCAACCACATTCAAAGCTGCATCAGGACAGCAAAAGAGCTCTCAGTGTAACAAAGCTACTACAGTTCCTTAGCTGTGTCCTCTATGGGTCTCATTGGTTAAAAAGATATGGAACAGTGGGAAGTGAAGAAAAATACTATCACTTTTTTCTTTTTCATCCTTGGTGGGGCGGAAAAGCTTTCACCCATATATTTTAGATTAGTATTCTCCTTTTCTTTTAAGAAAGAGAAAATTACATCCTTACATTTAAAATAGTACATTGAATCAAGCCAAGCGTCCTCTAAGGCTATGTAAATACTCCAAGATCCCCCACAGAACCAGAATTCTAGCTTTAAAATGGGAATTTGCAATCCCGCATCCAGATCTTACCAAAACAGGCTGGC